TGAACTCGTTATTCTCTCAGCAAAGAACCTAGCCACACACGCCAAGGAAAACAACAGTCGGACACTCGGAATCTGGTCCAGGAATACCATTATGAACGTCATTGCCTATATACAGCTAACGATGGAATATATGCGTCAGGAGGTACGAATTCAATACAACCACTCCACTATCAATCTCACCAAGCCTCAATAGTGTCTCCAATATTTGATTCTGATTTTCACAAACAAATAGGAACCCTCAATGTCCGGAGTCACGATACTGCTGTAATTGACCCAGTACATAATAAATAAATAATGAATAAATGTAAATCAGTAATTACTCGTTTACAAACAAAGATAATCTAAGCACCAGGACCGACATTCTGGCAGACAACAGACAGACATCCATATCCACAGACACACAAAAGCGTTTGTCTGAATAGGGGCACACGTGTATGTTGGCTCACGAACGCGGGGAGCTGATTTGTGTTGATAAGGCGTAATTATTGACCTAATTAGCATGACAGCGACATGACCAGCGTCTTCACATTCAACCTATATTGGAACACAGACCAATATGAGAACATGGCAGCTGAGAATTGGCCCCACATGCTGCACTATTTCCGTTGAAGATGAACTTATCGTTTTACTTAACGGTCCCGTGAAATCAGCTACTTTCATATTAACCTAGGCTCTTTTATCATTGGAGCGGTGGGGTAGCCTAATGGTTAAAGCATTCGCTCGTCACGCCGAAGACACTGGTTCGATTCCTCACATAGTTACAATGTGTGAAGTCCATTTCTGGCGTCGCCCGCCGTGATGTTGTTGGAAAATTGCCCAAAGCGGCGTAAAACCATACTCACTCATTCACTTTTATCATTCCATAAATAGAAATTGAATAGGGAATCGAACCCGAAACTTCGGTGTTATCAGCCCTAACCCTTCTGTCCTATATGACTCCAGCTAATGTAGAAAACGCCTTTGAAGCTGTTTTAAGTAGTTTTATAGATGCTAAGAGCGAGTGAGTGAGTGTTTACGCCACACTCAGCAACATTCCAGCTATATGGCGGTAGTCTGTAAATAATCGAGTCTGGCAATTGGGAACCGATGACATGTGTCAACCGAGCCAGTGAGCCTGACCACCAGATCCCGTTAGTCGCCTCTTGGTAGAGTGGTGGAGTCGTTGAGTGGTTGAGTGAATGAGTGAGTGAGTCAGTACCGTTAGTTTTAGAAATGTGTTTCACACATATAACCAACATAGGAATCGAACGCTGTACATAACCACATGGCCATTGGGAATGTTAACTGATGACCTCAGAAATGAGGCCTCATAGTTTAAACAAGGCGTTAGATAATTCTCACAGAAATGAATACAGTTATCTACGGTTATCACGAACTTAAAGGGATAAGCAGTTTTAGTTCGTTATACCCGTAGTACATTACTACTAAAATATACCGCAAGTACCCGGGGCCCAAACAACTGTCGGTTATATCCGTCTCTTCGTTATAACAGTGTTCGTTACAAACGTAGTTTATTGTGATATAGGTAGCTATAAAATTCCAGGCGTTCAAGTAGTGAATTATTTTTTAACATCTAACCCGTGAAGGTCCGGGTTAGAATTGATCTTCAGTAACCCATGCTTGTCGTAAGAGGCGACTAACGGGATCGGGTGGTCAGGCTCGCTGATTTGGTTGACACATGTCATCGTATCCCACATGCGTAGATCGATGATCATGCTCTTGATCACTGGATTGTCTGGTGCAGACACGATTATTTACAAACCGCCGCCATATAGCTGGAATATTGCTGAGTGCAGCGTAAAACTAAACTCACTCACTCACTCACTCAACCACTCTACCACTCTACCACTCTCCCATAACTTATTACAAGCAAACAGCGTTCCGTTTTATGTGTAATTTATATGTAGTTAATCAGTTCAAGAGCCCATTAACGGTATACAGATCGTGTCAGTAGACCAGCATAAATCAGGACTTCAGGTAGAGACAAACTACATGTCCTCCCAAGCAATCGTGACTATCACATTAAATACTGCTTTTCAAAAACACCAATTACAGTGAGTGAGTTTAGTTTTACACCGCTCTTAGCAATATTTTAGCAAAATCACCAGAAATGGGCTTCACACATTGTACCCTTCTAGGGAATCGAACCCGGGTCTTCGACGTGACGAGAAGACGCTTTAACCACTAGGCTACCCCACCGCCCACACAATTCACAACACACTGTCATTGATGTGATAACGTTGTTCAACCAACTAGACTGAAATATACACTGTGATCATTTTTACAATATTCAAACAGCAATATTCCAGCCATATTTATGTTTTATGTACATAATTGAATCTGGACCAGACAAACCAATGATCGATATGATGAGCATCGAACCACGCCATCGTCGATGACACTCGTTACAAAAGCAACACCTTATCCTCCTTACCGGCTCTTACATCACGTAAGGTAGATTGACATTTGATGTCAGAAAAAAGATATCTTTTATAAAAATATAGAAAAATATATTCATCTTCAAAACAAAAGGGGGCTGTGGGGTTAGCCCAGTGGATAAATCTTTACCTCGTGATTCCCCACATGGGTACAATGTGTGAAGCCCATTTCTGGTGTTCCCCGCCGTGATATTGGTGGAATATTGCTGATAGCGGCGTAAAACAGCATTCACAGACAAACAAAATCCAAATGAGCCAAGAACCATCCTCGATTTCATAAAACTAAGGCGGTCACAACTTGCCAAAACTTTGTAGACTTTAGTAGGAATCCTATTCAACATATTCTTTATGTTCTAAATGAGTTTTGTTTTTCGCCGCTTTAAGCAATAATCCAGCAATATCACGGCGGAGAACACCAGAAATGGGCTTTCCACATTGTAAGCATGTAGAAAATAGAACCCATGTCTTTGGCGTGAAGAGCGAACATTTTAACCACTAGGCTACCCCACCGCCCCTGTCGTAATGAATACAACAGACATAAAACAGACATACAACACAGCAAGTCAATAATGCAACGCGCCAGTCATTCAAACACGTAGTTGAGGAAACATTTCGAAACGTTCCGAGATTCGTTAAATCGTTACAGGCCTTCGCATAGTGCCCATCGGCCCACGGAACGTTCCGAGGTATCGCAATGTAATCCTGAACAAATAGCTTCCGTCCAGGTATCAGGTCAATAGCTCCATGTGATGAGCGTCTCACTCCATAATTCCCAGTCAGGGGGTCACGGCTTTAAAGTAGAACACGTTCAGTTCAATCTCCCCTACTGGAAACATTTCTAGCTTTTTATTATTAATTCTTAAGTCACTGAGATGCTTGGCCGTCTCTTTCTATGGAATCCTAGAAGGGACATTGTGGCATTGTCGCGTTGTCGCCCACTCTTACAACTGACTGACTGAGTTTAGTTTTACGCCGCTTTTAGCAATATTCCAGCAATATCACGGCGGGGGACACCAGAAATGGGCTTAACACATTGTGCCCATGTGGGGAATCGAACCCGGGTCTTCGGCGTGACGAGCCAACGCTTTAACCACTAGGCTACCCCACCGCCCCACTCTTACAAAAACAAACTAATAGTGTAAAATTTAACCAAGAAAATTCGAAAATGCGATGCATCGCATTGCCGGTATGTCGCATTGTCGCGCTTTTAAGAAGATTCCTTATTTTACAAAAGGGCCACAGTGCGACAACGCGACAATGTCCCATGTAGGATTCCATAGTTTTCTGTCAACCCGCTGTACTACGAGTCATGGTTCGAGTAACCATTCGCCTTCATATGTAAGTTAAATATGACGCATGAATTATCCTTTTTGTACCCGAAAAACATCTTAATATGTAATAGCGATTTCGAGAAGGACCGAGGCTTTCCTTAAGTACAGGGGGCAGTGGTTAAAGTGTTGGTTCGTTACGACGAAGACCCGGGTTCGATTCTACACAAGGGTACAATGTGTGAAGCTCATTTCTGGTGTCCCCCGCCGTGATATTGCTTCAAAATTGCTAAAAGCGGCGTAAAACAATACTCATTCCTAAAGCGCTGATGTAGGTTTGAGCTGGTAACCAAATGTTTCTGAAAAGTTGGGACACAAATGACCAAACTTTTAGTTGCAGCCATAGCGGTCTCAAAGGTCACACTGGTTTCCGAAGTGTGATAGGTGAATGTATAACTAATTTCCGTCCACATTTGTCCTGTATTTAAGTTCTGAGAGCAGTCCAACACTGAGTCAGATAAATAATTAGTTGTGCTCGCTGTGGAAACTTTCCGCAATTGACGGAAGTACATGGAGAGACAGTGCAGGGTCACTGACTAAATTACTCCATAATTGCAACACTCTACAGTGTTTACCTACTCTCGCTTGCATATCGTCGTCTATTGTTGAAAGAGTATGTCACATTATTTGGGAGGTCACGCAAGCTTTCTCTCTCTCTCTCTCTCTCTCTCTCTCTCTGACTCTCTCTATCTGTCACTCTCTCCCTCCCTCTCTCTCGCCCCCTCTCTCTCTCTGACTCTCTCTCTCTATCTGACTCTCTGCTTTCTGTCATATCTTCTCACATTCACTCTCATCCATGCGTCACACGTCACATTTCTTATTCTTACACTCTTTCACTCTCACATTCACACTCTCCCCCATTCTCCCCTTTTTTCTCATTCTCTCTCTCTCCTCTCACATTCCCTCTCATCCATTCGCCACAAATCTCTCTCTCTCATTCTCACTCTCACATTCCTTCTTTCTCACCCATTCTCATACTAATTCTCCTCATTCTCTTTTTTTCGGTCTCCCTCCCCCTCTCTCTCTATCTCTTTCTCTCACTCTCACATTCACTCTCATCCATTCGACACAATTCTCACTTTCTCATTCTCACTTTCTCACATTCCCCCTGTCTCATTCTCTTCCTTTTCTCAATCTATTTTTTCTCGATACATTACTTACATACACTAATTAAATATCACAATATATAAGCACAATCACATTTATATTGTGTACTACATGGGGTTAAACTCACCGCCTCCAGTGTTTCCGGGAACAACGAGATTACAAAACACAAGTGCTGATGCCAGCACACAGGAGAACATCTTTAGACTGTCGCCTCCTCGCTCGTGTCTTTCAAAATATTCCACAGAAAGTGACACAGGAATCTCTAACCATCTCCACAAGTCTCGTTGTAGTAATCAGTCAATAGATACATGTCCTCCTGCTCTTCTGTCAGACAACCCTACCCACGAAGGCCATTGGTGAACTTACCAGTGGGCGGGGCAACGCCAGTCATTGCTTGAAATTGACAAACCGTGCTGTGTAGAGTGGTGTACATTTCACGTCATTGTAGCGTCAACATCTATAGCGTGTAGATATTTCCTAGATAAAAACACTTTGATTTGTAAGAATATTATATATCATTATTAATCGCTACTCCTTATACTATCGTATGTTCGTATGTTGTAGTATACCTTTCAAGTGTTAACTCGCGCGTTAATAGTGAGTAAGTTTAGGTTAACGTGTGCGGAATCGAACCTGGGTCTTCGATGTGACGAGCTTACGCTTTAACCACAAGGTTACGCCAACTCCTCGCGTTAAGGTGAGTGAGTGAGTTTAGTTTTACGCCGCTTTTAGCAATATTCCAGCAATATCACGACCGGGGACGCCAGTAATCGCCTTCACACGTTGTACCCATGTGGAGAATCAAACCCGGATCTTCGGCGTGACGAGCGAACGCTTTAACCACTTGGCTACCCCACCGTCCCCAATCGTTTAGATGCTGGCGTGGGGTGTTGTGTCGGTTCATGGCCGGGGAGGCTAAAATCGCGACGCTTCTCGGTTCAATGAGCGTAGCCTTCGCGGTACTGGCAATGCAATGTTATGGCTGAATAAACACGGTGCCCCTCACTCGGAGGCTCTGACAAATTACAAAGAAAACACGATTAACGGGGACGCTCTTTCATCTGGGCACACATACAACTATAAATACAGTTATTTACTCATTTTCATGTCTATTTTTCATTATGCATTGTCTTTAATACGACATTAAATTAGCATTTTCCATGGAAAAACACATTTCTGTCAATCTACTTAACTGCAACTTAAATATACCATAATATTATAGCAATGTTTTGAAAAGAAATTCTTATGAAAATGTATTCCAAGGTATAAGTATCAGACATGTCAAAGGTACATCACCAAGATAATTTTTTTGAAAATTAACTCTTGCAGTTCCAGAGCCAAATACGACTACTTTAGTCTTTTCGATATTTAATTTTAACTTCCACTTTACACAATATTAATACTATGCTGTAACTCATCCGGACTCAAATGATACCACGTCATCAGCATACATCAGTACAAAAATCTTAACAAATCCAAATATATTATCAATTTCTACATCATCACAGTCATTAGTCGCTAGATATGACTCAACGTCAGTAATAAACAGTGAAAAAAGGAGAGGGGATAAACTTTCTCCCTGGCGTACGCCTTTACAACAGTCAAAATAGGTAGAGTCATTTTCACCTGTTGAAACACTTGGTATGATCATACATATTATAAATAACTTTTTAAACTTACCCAGTAATTCCGTTTTTTACATTTTTTTGCCATTGTCTCACACGCCAGACATTATCAAAGGCTTTTTGAAAGTCTATAAAAACAATACATAACTTTTTCTTCTTAGATTTAAGCTTAGTATATCAACTAATCCATTAAAAACAAAAATATTATCTAAAGTAGAGTACCCCTTTCGGAAACCCGAACCGTAAACAAGCGAAGATTATAACAATGATTTGAAAAGAAATCTATCTACTCATGGATTATGCCTAATGACTATTATTCTAATGGGTTTTCTATAATTAAATACATCTGAAATACAATCGCCACTTATATAAAGTTCTAATGTTTCAGAAATAAATCGCGATATTGGCTTATAGTCAGAAGCCAACGTTAAACCCTCCAAATCTACTCCCGACATGGATTATGCTTCCCGGCACCGTATCTTTAGCTTTGGCGGTACTCCCCTACTCCCTTGAAAATTAGCTCTCCCGGGATATCCGAAATATACATTTTACCCTCCCGGGTCATCTGAAAAATAAATTTTAGCCTTCCCGGCACGACACCGTTGTGTCTAGGTACATATACTATATGAACGCCAATGACAATAAACAATTGCAAACACACCTGGAAAACAAACAGATGTTTCCGTAACTTGAGACAAGGATTTCACATTCGGGCGATTTTTTAGGAATTATTAATAATCCCGGATTAAATATTAATAAAATATATGACGTTGTGGTTGTTCAGATGCGTTAAGCTTTCATATTCTCCTTCTCCGCTGACACGATGTAATGTCACGGTATATATCTCACGATAACGAACGAGGAAGAATGGTCTGCTGCAAGATATGATTATCTCAGGCTTAAATCATTCATGTCCTACTGAACAAAGGAAACGCCATGGATAGCACAGTATGGAAGATACTGAAGAAATTAGCATCAGTTTTCCTTGAAAATTGATTTAGAAAAGCTACAAATTGACAAAAATGACACTTTCAGATACATGTCATTCTTCTTTATTGCGAAAGGAATCTATCTCCTTGCTTCATCATGGGGACGCACCTTTAACCGGGGAGAATAACCAGTTTCTCAGTGAGTGAGTGAGTGAGTTTAGTTTTACGCAGCTGTTAGCAATATTCCAGCAATATCACGGCGGGGAACACTAGAAATGGGCTTCACACATTGTACCCATGTGGGGAAACGAACCCAGGTCTGCGGCGTGACGAGGGAACGCTTTAACTACTAGGCTACCCCACCGCGGCACTATCCCAACCAGTTTGTGAAGTGTATTGATATCACTGAGTGTTGTTAGTGGAGTGAGTGACGGTTTGCGTGACAGCGTCCGTTCGTGAGTCAGTGAGTGAGAAAACCAGCTGATCACGATTATCGGTTTTCTCCTAACGGTACTCCACAGCTATTCTTGACGCTAATCCTAACCTAGTCTGTCATACAGACCCTGAAGGAAATATATCCAAGAAAGCCCACGCAAGTCTAGATTTCCACAGCTTCAGGGAAATGACTGACTGACTGACTGAGTGAGTTTGGTTTTACGCCGCTTTTAGCAATATTCCAGCAACATCACGGCGGGGGACACCAGAAATGGGTTTCACACATTGTACCCATATGGGGATTCGAACCCGGGTCTATGGCGTGACGAGCCAACGCTTTAACCACTAGGCTACCCCACCGCCCCTCAGGGAAATGAAGAAAATCTCAGGGCTCCTTTTCATTATACTTTTTTTTTTTTCCATGTGAGCTATTTTTCTGTAAAATATGTTCCTTTCAGAGACTAGTTGTTAGTCTTATCCTAACCTAACAATGTTAACTCATTCAATAACAAATATCTTGGCAAGGAAACGGTTATCGTTTGGTTTTGCGAATATCGACGGTTATCGATTAATGTTAACGGTTATCGATTGATTTTGTCCAAATCGTCGATTACCTATTATGGATAACGGTTATCGATTGATTTTGTCCAAATCGACGGTTATCGATTGCTTTTGCCCCATCGACGGTTATCGCTTAACGACATCAGTTATCGATAACTTTTTGGCCTATCGACGATTATCGATTAACGATAACAGTTATCAATTGATTTTGTCCAAATCAACGGTAATCGATTGCGTTTGCCCTATCGACGATTATTAACGTTATTGGTTATCGATTGCGTTTGTTCATAATGAAACTTAAATTATTAACACTAAGTGTTTGACATAGACACCTCAACCTCGATCACTCACTACAAATCCAAACGCACACTCCTTACAACAAAGGTGTCTCTCATCAATACTGGTATAACATATAAATTCAAAATCTTCCTGCTGTGCTACAATGTAAACAGTTAGATATCACTCCCGTTACGTATGACACAGGCCTTTTCGGTGTTAGGAGCAGGAGCAGATAAAGGTCAGCAAGTGCGTTGTTATAATCAATATACATGTACTAGGATTACAGAGGACACGCGTGGTGGAGAAAGACGTCTAAGGCGACCTAATTTGATCTGCAGAGTTATGTCCCTTACACGCGTCGTAAACCAGAGGTCACAGGTAAGAGTGAGTATGGTTTTACGCCGCTTTTAGCAATTTTCCAGCAATATCACGGCAGGGGCCACCAGAAATGGGCTTCACATTGTACCTATGTGGGAATCGAACCTGGGTCTTCGACGTGACGAGCGGACGCTTTAACCACTAGGCTACCCACCGCCCCAGCAGGTACGAAGATGAGTTAGTGAATTTGTATTAACGCTGTTTTATGAAAATTACGTCCCGTCGTGTCCGCTTACAGAGGTGATCAAGGTATCAGACGTTTACCACGAGCACGGATTCGAACCCACAATCATTGGATTCTGGTGTGCTCAAGGGACGCAACTCCTCATAATTGTTCAAAGCGAAGTTGTATCGAAGTCTGTAGTTATTTCCATACTTTATTCTATTGCAACACAAATGAGATCCGATCTATCACACTGCACTCGCATGTGGACTCGAACCCGGTCAAGTGAGGCAGCCAGTTCCCATTGCTTGTCAATCATCTAGTCACCCTTACTAAACTGACCTGCAAAAGATGGTATGCACAATATTGGATGGTGGCTAAATTGAGACAAACAAGATATTATTGTTCGATCTTCATGTAATTAACTGCGGGTTAGAATTGGTCGTAAAAGGCGACTAACGGGATCAGGTGGTCGGGCTCGCTTACTTGGTTAACACAGGCATCGTCTCCCAATTGCGTAGATAGATGCTCATGATGTTGATCACTGGATTGTGCGGTCCAGACTCGATTATTTAGCTGGGTGCCGCGTCAAACAACATCAAACAAACAAACAAATCATATACAATGTATTCAACATGGATATCATAGGTGAGGCTGGGATTTTTTCACTGTTTCCAGTAAGGATTTCATATAAATTGTTACTTATTGGTCGAATTCAATTTTCAGGTGTATAACATCTATCCGACAATTTACACAGCGTATCTATATATATATTGTGGCCATTACTGATGACAGCAAAATGCTTGAAACATTTTTGTTAGATGTTTCTAAATATAGAACGCACATGCACCATACAAGCACCTGTTTTGCAGATCCAGACCCGCGGATGTAATACTGCCGTTGTCTTAAACCTCTTTTAGTCGTTGCTTAATGTTTACCGTTAACCATGTTTAATGTAGAATACTGACGCA